TTTTTTTCTCTAAACCTATGGAAATTACTGAAGGAAAAATCTTTCCCCTATCCTTACTAGAGTTGGATCAAAACAGAAGGACCCATTTCAACACTAACCACATCTAAATTACTTAATTTCTTGGCTGGATGGCAGAGAAATATCTTTACAGAACTGGTAAATGACCATGACTACCTCTCAAAAATATTATCTCCTAAGAATAATTCAGATGCTGTAAGAGAAATGCACTCTTACAAAAAGCAGCTTTTCCAAACCTCTGTAGTCTCCCTGCACAATATTCTCTCTAGCTACAAGCCTCCCTTCCTTTAGTAAATGTATTATAACCCTTTCAGACTGTTCTGCTTTACGTACTCAACACCATGAATCTATAACAAGGTTATGGGTGAGTAACAGTTTAAATTACTTTCAAATACAGCTGAAAAGCCTATTATAGATGCAACCTTGAACTTTAATTGTATAAAGGCAGCTACTTCCTTAGCATTCACACTAGTGATAAGAGTTTCTTGCTTGTAAGTCTGCCGGGACTTTCTGGCTGTGTTGGCAGCTATTTATTCTGCCTCTAGACTTTGAAAAAAGAAATGCATATGTTTAAACACTGTAACATCCCAATATCTATTGAAATTTGTAATGATGAAGGGTGTAACATATTTGAGTCGGAGAAGCCAGTCTCGTTGATTATATGTTATTCTTCCTGCTATTTTCCTAGGCTACACAAGAGGTTGCTGAAATCCAGCGTTTGTTTCCAGATATACATTCATGCTTTTTAAGGAAATGATTGTAAGGAGCTGGAGAACCGTTGAAATGATGTTGCTCAAAGATTTCCCAGCATTGGCACAAGCTAAGCAAATAAGGGTAAGCTGAAAGGATACATGTAAGGTAAACAAAGAATCTCCTTAAGGCTGGCTTATAGTTGGTAATGGAAAAATCTGGGAGTGCTTTTGTGGTGTCATAAGTGCTTTTGTGGTCTCATGGTTTCAAAGCTTTTTGGTACTTCTGATTGAAAAAATCACTACCAAAACAAAACAAGCAAGACCCAAACAAAACCCACCCAACGTCCCAGATCAGTGTGTTGGACTGGAACGCCCATGGGCTGGAAGCTCTCTTCACAGCAATGCCCATAGGCATGGACTTGATGGAGGGATTATTTCCAGAGCTGAAATTTTGTATTTCATACCCAAGACAGGGTTCCATGGGTACGGAACTTCAGTGGGAAGTTCCATTAAACTTTACAATAAGGGTAGCTGCAGCTAACATCTCGATGAGGGTGGAAGTGAGGTTGCTGCTCACGCAGTGCAAACAGCTTACAAACATCCCAGCCACTGGTATCAGCCCAGGGTCTGCTCAGTCCTGGAGCAGCTGAGTAGAACACCAAGTGAAGTTTTATTTGTTTTGTTTTTACCAACAATGAGCCATGCTATCTCATGTTTGTTAAGCAGAGGTATAAAAATTTTGCCTCAAATATATTTGATCAAATAATTAACGTCTTCTTTAGATTAAAATACACTTATCAAACTAATTAACTTTCATTAAATCAAGGATAATGGGGTATGAGTATAGCTCCCAGAGAGGTAAAGATGGAGAGCCCTGTAATCCTTCCACTGCCTGCAGTATTCCTTGAGCCTCCAAGACACAAAACAATGCTCTGAGCCACTGGTCCCTCTGTGGGAGCACGTTTGCTCTCCCTTAGTTGAAAATTTAAAGGCATTTTTAGGCTTTAGAGTTCAATAGTTATTGTCCATTTTTAGCTAAAATATTCTAATTCAGAGTGTTAGAACACAAAGAGTAACACTTGGAAAAAGAAAATTGGATTCAGAGTTGCGCTGAAGTTTTGTGATCCCTAGGCAGAGATTTGAGATCTCTGTATTTCTTCTTCATTCAGAAAATGAGACGCGAATTTTAAAAATGAGACACATTTTGGAAGATTATTTTCTAATTTTATAATTCAGCTAATGAAATGCAGCTATGTGAATACAGCACGTGTTATTAATTAACAGGAAGATGCATGTCCTCTTTAGGATACTTATCAGCAGCATTGGTGCAGAGGTGTCAGCAGGAGCACTGTGGTGACAGCATTGGGGTATTATGTAATTTTGCATGGACCAATCCTGAGTAATATTGACTTATTGCAACTCCTACATCAGCTCAGCCCATTCCTCTTACCCAAAGCCTTCCCATCTGAAAAACAGATTAATTTCTAGGAAGAATGTAATGAGACAGTCCTCATGGTGTGGGCTTTTGACTGATTAAACAATCATATGTCAAGTCCCTTTATGGTGCCACAGAAGAAAGAAAAACTAGTGAAAAAAAGAGAATTTATATACTACATTGAATAATAAACAGTGTAATTTTCCTGCTATATTGTAAGCTGGTAGAAATGTCTAAAAATGCAAAGAAACATTTTACCTCCTTAAATGTTTTTTTATTTTGAATAATGAACAATTATGCATCTTAGAGGGGGTTAATTTTGTGAGCAGAATATTAATAATTTATGAATGTGTTAAAGGTATTGATCATACAAGAGCAGAAGCATTATGCTTGAGCTCTTTCTGTAATCCATTAAAAAGGAAGTAAATTGCTTCAGTTTCATACTAAAATATGAGGCTAGCAGACTGTAGTTTAAAACATATGTAAAGTTGTTTTCCTGTTTAAACTGCAGTCATCCATCGTTGGTGTGGTGGTAGCACACAGGGATTTGCTGGGACTCAGCCCCAGACAATCAGCCCAGAGGCTCTTTCTCCTTCTCCCAGTGCCCTGCCCATGCCCACTCCTTGCTCTGGGCACCTTCAAGGGCTGATCTCTGCAGCCACAGCAGCTGGGCTCCATTTCACCTGATTGTAGCCTGTTTCTGGGCTTGGGACACAACCCTTGGAGGTTAGCAGGAGTTATGTGGATTCTCCTGAAGAAATGGTGGGGAGATATCAACTGTGGAACCAGATCTATAGCTTGTCTGTTTTGGTTTTTACCAGCCCTGACCATTTTTTTCATGGTTGAGGACAAATACCATGAACATTGTATTTATGCAAGGTGAATACTTACAACAAAATCCATAAGGCTTCTCTGGATCCAGGAATCTTCCCTGAATTTAACTGCATCAGAGACTTAGGTGGCTTTGAATTGTTACCCCCTTTTATCATGGTTGCATGAATAAAGCTTTAATCCTCAGGCTCACGACTGTAGGGTGTTTCTGCCAAGAAGGAACATGGGCATGGAAACCAATGAGTGCAATCCCTCTCCTTCTATTCCTGTTCTAAGGTAGAAGAAAGAGCTATATAAACCACAGGAAATAAATAATTGGTGAATAATTTTATTAATCAAATTCCTTCTAGACCACCAATCTCATTATTTGTTTATCAGCCAGGCTTCTACTAAATCTATTCACAATTAAAAAAAAAATTACCAAGTGAACAGTATTGACCCAATCCTTAATTAGGGCAGCTTAGATGTCTTGTATAATTAACTGGACTTTGTTCATAATTATTTCCTGATAGTTGGAATTGTTTTCCACAAGTAACAGAGCAATAGTAATGGTAACACCAAGAAATCTTTGATTTTTCAGAGTAGAATAATGACTTGGCTTATTGTGCTTAAGTTGCATAAGACTTTTTTGTTCCCACTGATAGCTAAAAGTAATCACATCAATTTGTCTGGGCCACACAGGGAGGTTTTGCAAAATCAGTTCTTTCAATGTAGAAATAAGTATGCATCCAAATATTTGAAATGTGTCTGTGGCTCCAATCTATGGGCCCCTTGGAAAGAGGTGTTTGCTAGACCACTGCCTTGGATTTCAAGACAATGAGTGTCCCCTCTAATATGAGAAAATCGTAGTCATGCTACAACTCAGGGTTGTTTGGAATTCATTATGAAGCTGCGTGAAAGAGCATGTGGGTTAAAGAGGTGCACTGCTAATTAATGCCTTTACTCCTAAAGAAGTAGCTCCTTGCTCCTGGGGTTAGGCAGAGTGTGAGAAGGAAAAGAAGCAGGCAGTTGTCTGCAGGCTCTTTCAGGCCTGAAACAGCAGATGAGTACATGTGAAGTTTAGGGAGACAAGCACCAGCACAAGGTGTAACTCATTGCCACCAAACGTGCAACAGCCCTAAGGCAGCAGGGCTGAATGTGTATGATCAGAATAAGACTTCTTTTCTAAAACTCCAGACTTCAGAAGACCAACAAGGGTTTTCTTTGTATAATTTTCTGTGAGATTTGCTTAACCTGAGTAGTCTTCCCACAAGAGGTCTTGGATGGTGCTATGTTGTGTTCAGGCTAGAAAACACAGAATGAGTTATAACAATTGTTCATCTGCCTCTGTCCTCTCTTCCTGGCAAAGATGCCTCTGATCTGCTCATCTATAAAGAGCCTGGTGAATTTGGGTCATTGCTTTCAGATCACCCTGTTGCCACCAATGTAGCCAAAGTCCATATGCAGTTGAGCACTTTCAGGATGTTGGGAGGATGTGAGCAGTGTGACTCCTGGAGGGTGGAAAGCATGGTGGGCTGTGTTGCCCTGAAAGCCATTCCTGTTTGCATCCTGCTCATGAATCCACTGACCCATTGCCTATGCATTTTATGTTACTAACTAATGTCTAATTATTTTTTTCACTGTTAAATTCCTTGCAGCTCTCTTTAAAGTTTAGTAGGTAAGAAGATTAAAACATAAATGCCATTAAATATGCTTTAAATATCAAACCTATTGAAATACTTCCAGGTTCTGTATCCTCTTAAAAAATAATCCCTATTCAAAACAGAGAGGAAATGTCATCTGCATTAGTGTCTTCTGAATTTAAGATTGGATTACATGGGGAATTATGTAAAATAGCTTTGGAAATCTGATAATTAAAAAAACTTTGGACTATGTTATTTATGACATTTTAAACCTCTGTAACGTTTGGGGATGTTTTCTGTGCTGTACGTGTGCTGTTAACTTCACATGTAAGATTTTCTTGCATAACTTCACGTGAATTAATGGTCATAGAGTCTGAATTCAGACTCTGTGTGCTGGGATTTGAAGGCAATTACTGGATCTACATGAAGTTAAAGCTGGGGTGTGGGCAGATCAGGATGTTGCTCTTAGCCGCTTTGTGGGTTATCCTCTGTCTCCATAGGAAAGTCAGGAAGAAAAGAACCAGAGGCTAATGTTAGCTGAATTACTTAAGAATGTCCTCCCATATCATCCTGTATTGGAGCCCCACAACATCCCCAAAAGTCCTCAAAATTTCAGTGCCCATTTATTAATGAGCACAGTTACTCCACTGGGTCCCTCTGAAAAGGGCAAATGAAGTCCCATTACAGCCATTCCAGTTTGCACATTTAAGTGTTGTAGTACAAAAGGCAAATGGTCAGGACAGGGCTGTGTCGCAGACATTTTTTCATAGAAATCCTTTCTTTGGGATTTGTTCATCTTCTGAGAAGCTGAGGCCCCAGAAGAAGAACAAATCCCAAAGAAAGGATTTCTATGAAAAAATGTCTGCGACAGGGCTGCTTGGCTGCTCCAAGCCCTGCAGGTTGTGTCCAACACTGAATGCCAGAGCATCTATAGGATATTTCCATTGATGTTCCACCAGAGCTGGGAAATGAAGGGGTCCTTGCGTCAGTGTGAAGTGCCAGGGAACAGAGCTCATTTCTGGGAAGGGCAGACAGGATTTCTCTCCAAGGCTGGTAGATACTCTGCTTTGTGGGGCAGAAAGAAAAACCCTTACACCAGCTTGGTTTCTTGCATCAATGAATACACAGCACAGGCTTTGGCAAAATGTCACAAGACCTGGAGGAGAGTACTGAGATGGACCCTGGAGCCTGGGTGTGGCCTTGCCATCTCTCTCTTCCCAGGATACACCCATCCGGGGCCACACAAACCAGGATGGCTCTCTCTGTCTCTGTGGTCACCTCCCCAGGCTGTGGCTGTGGCTCCCTGTGCCTTGCCCCTCACAGCAGCTGAGCTAGGAGCCACGTCCACTTATGCAGAAGTGCTCCTGATAAATATTGACCAGAAAACTTAGCATAAATATGCAATGAATCTATGCGCCAGTGGGAAATGTTAAACCAAACATATTTAGGACAGAGGCTTTCAAAACAGGCCAGGAAAATTCTTTTTCCAGCAAGAGGTGATATGAGCCTATTCTTTCTTCAGCTGGCTAAGCAACAGCAGGAGTGTTTCCTACTAAACAGCCTCATTAGCATAAGAATAACTACAGGGTAAATTTTCAAGCTCATTCCAAGTGAATTCAAAGGGAGGGGGGGAAATATTCTTTTAATATGCGCAACTCATGCAAACAATGATATGAAACTAATTCATTTCATCATATTATCACCATATCATATTAACTTAAAAGAAATAATAATGCAACATGGAAATGTTTGCATATTAGAGAGAACTCTCATTGTACCCTATTAGCACCATATCGTATTAGTATTAGTATTGCATTAGGCTATTATGCTACAGTGCTAAAATGATGAAATCCCACTGTGAAAACTGATATTGAATTCTTGTAATGTTTCAGAACCATTTTTAGCACTGAATATAAATAATTCATGGGAGCATATCTAATGAATTGATGAAAACCCCCCATCCCTTGACATTGTGAGAGTATTTATGAATGTAAAGTCATGAACAGGATTTTTTTTTTTTAATGGAGATGCACTGGGACTGAAATATCTGGCTTATCACTTGACCCAGTGTGCTTATGTCACACAGAGCATCGGGTTGAGTTGCCACATTTCTCAGGTAACACAGCAAAGGTGGCATCTAAGAAGTGGCCTGTTCCAGGATCAGGGGTGCACAGCTCACCTTTCCAGATGGGCTGCCTGCAGGACATGCTGAGACCCATGAGCAGCCAGACCCTGTCACTGCACTAATGCCACTCTGGTCCACCTGCATTGACTTTTTAAGATCTGAGACTAATGGCTAAATGCTAATGAGAAAATATGTATTTGCCTCACAGGCTTTTATGGAATTATCCTTTCACTTACCCAGCATTTGATGCTGTTGTGTGATTGCAAGGGTAGTTATTACCACAAGCAGTGCTGAACTTTGTTTTATGCAGACGTATTGCTGGCAGACTGGATCCCATGACTCTTTAGGAAGGTAGAGGACTGTATGATGAACTAGTGAGCGTTAACTCAGCCTTTAAGGGCCCCATGAGGAACAGCTGAAGCAGACAGCAGTGTCTGTCCCTGTTCCTGGGAGGAGAGAGCGGCTGTGCTGGCACAGGAAGCAGGTGAACTGTGTTCTGGGTTAGTCCCTGATTTATGATCTAAATTGCCATCACCTTGTTCCTTTCCTGCTGCTCTCTAGCATCTCTTGGCCTATGCAGCAGATCTCTCCTCTCTCTCCTCTGGCTCCTGCATTTGTGTCTGATTCCATGCAGCACTGATGACCCTCAATCTAAACCATGGTGCTGCATGACCTGTAGGAGAAATGGTAACAGGGGACCCCTTCACAAATCCTTCAGTTTCTTTCTCACTGAGGTGTAAATTCAGAGCAGGAGATGCAGGGAAAACAAAGCTGGATTACTGTTTCCACTGCTTTCCAAAAGCACATGAGGACACTGGCATGCTGTGTACCCTGCCTACCAGGCTCAGAGAGAAGAGCCCATGTGTGCCATGTCATGAAAGTTTATTGTGCTCTTCAGGCTTGTCCTTTCTTCAGCAGTCTGGGATGCATCTGCTGTGCTTGCAGTGGGAAACATCAATCAGGTGGGAGGAATGACTCTGGTTTCAGTGCATGAGGCAGCAATGTGGGGGAAGTTTCTCTAAAGGTCATCAGGAGTCACACGCTCTCAATACTTTCACCTAGTCTGGAGATTTCAAGGAAAAAATACAGCAGCAAGCTGGGGGATGTTTTTGGTTTTGCAGGATGCAAGGTCAGAGCATTGTGACCTTGTTCAGAGCAGAGAAGGAGCTGATGGCAGTGAGATCCCAGGAACAGCATTATGCAGAGTAAGAGCAGGTGAAGAAATATGAACTGTATCCTGTAAGCCTTGACAGATGTGTTATGCACATGGTGTTTGCTTCACAACTGGCTTGAGCAATGAATCCATGCAGGAGAAGTTTGATGGTAGGGTAGTGGGGGAGTGTTTGTTTTCTCTCTGTTCATTTTTTCCTCACACACAGGTTTGGTTTTCTGTTCTTTCCTCTAGAAAATACTGCTATAATCACTGCAGAGATGGAGAGTTCTGCTTAGCTCCCATCTTTGTATTCAAAACTGGAAAAATTACAAGTGCTCAAAGTTTATCCTGTCCAGGTAAGCTCCTAGTTTTCACTGGTAATATTAAATTACACATATATTGCTAGTGAAAATAATTTCAGTTCTTCCTGTAGTCAGTATATAAAGTGTATAAATAACATGTTTGAGAGCTGTTTTTTTTTCCTGTGCTGTGTTTTTCTGCTAAGTTGAGTACCAGACCTAACATTTATTTATAAGGTAGCTAGAAGAGAATTTTCCTCTGAGAGTAGCAGAGACACTTCAGTGTTCACCTAATTCATACTAAAAGCAATGGATTTTTTTGTGGAAGAACCACAGTAGCAACACATGCCATCTCCATATCAGCAAATAAAAACATGCACTTATTTCACCAGGATAGATAGATAGATAGATAGATAGATAGATAGATAGATAGATAGATAGATAGGAAATGGACCTTAAGTTAACTAAACAGTCAGTAATTTTTTGCTATGCTTCCAAAGCAGTATTTTAAATAGATTCCAGCAGCTTGTTGTGGCTTACTGAATTTGTTTGTATGGGTCAGTATGGCCTAATTTTTCATGTGGAAGCTCTTCTCCAGTTATACCTGTGGATCATTTAAGGTGAATGTGACAATTCATGACTTTTTTTCATAACTATGAATATCGGACATTTACAAACTGCACCTTAACCTCCAAACATTTACTCCTACAATTATCATTGAATGTTGTGGTAAGCTGGAAAACAACTGTTGCTAGTGAAGATCACCATATTTTGTAGGAAAAGTGAGTGAGATTGTGGCTGGGATGCTCCCTGTGCCCAGGAAGGAAAACTCTGTGCTCCTGCAGACACAGGAGGTGGGTCCTGGCCTTGGGGCACAAGCAATCCCCAGGGATGGCGCCCACGGGGGTTTGCAGTCACTGCCTGCACTGGGGCTTGCTCTGAGCACTATGGAGGGAACATCCCTGGCTGATTTCCCTCCTGTCCTTGCTGCTGGCACCTGCCAGGCTGCAGAAGGGGGAGCTCCCACTCTGGGGAGATGCAGTTTCCTCTGCCCATGAAGTAAACTGCATCCTGTGAGCTGTTTGCCAGGCAACAGGTATGGTGTATCCCAACTTTAGGAAATGCCTTTTCCATTGTTAACTAAAAATTGCCATGTGCTTTATTAAAATTCTGGCTGTTGCAGTGAAATATCTAATAGAAAATATTATTGCAGATTGGACTGTTTCAGTGCTGGCATTATTTTTGACTTTCATGAACAGTTCTTTCAGCATCATATTGGATCTCCCACAGAGATGGGTATTCAAACTGTTTGAAGCCTACTGTTTTCTGGGCACAGTTTTCACGTCTACTTGCCACTAGAACCCTATTTTAATCATGAGTTTGAAGCTTAGATTTTGTTTCTTCTGCCTGTGAATGAATAAGACTGGTGAGATTCCGCTTTTACACTTGCTTCCATTTGGCTGCTGTGGGGATAGGAATGGTTGCTGTATAAGTTAGCAGCTTCCAAATGCATTTTGCTATTTCAGTATTCCACAGCTCTGGAATAGCTTCCTATCATCCCCCATAACTGAGGACTGCAGGCTTCTCCTTTGCTGCTGCAAGCTTTGGTCCCACTGCAGGTGAGGGTGACACATCTGCATGGCACATTGCAGTAGGGCATCAGGAATAGCCCAGTGGGGCTGTGAAAGAGCCATCAGATACACAGACTTCCCTTCTGTTTTTGTAGCCTGGATCTCTGTACATTTCCAGACACACTCCAGTGATAACTGAGTTGTATTGCTCTAGGAAAAACTCTTCTTGTGTGTGCTGTACTCCTTCATCTTGCCAGGGATCACTGAGAGGCCAGGGCAAGGGCCAATGTCCCAGACTGTTCCCCTGAATATCTGTCCAACCTTTTTTCTTCTGCACCTCTGATACATCTCCACCATGCATCTCCTATAGTCTTTGTTTCCCTGTTCATTCATGCTTCTGATGCCAAAAATCTAAAACCAGACCCTCAGTAGTATTGACCTCCTTGTGCCTGTGTCTGTTTCTAAATAGCAGGGGGGAGAATTTCTATCAGAATCAGAAAGTATATGGGTTGAAGATGTCCATAGCTGTGTGTGAGCTGGATTGAAAACTGCTCAGCTCCTTAAAAACTCTGTGGGGTTTATCATGGTGAATACAGCAAACTTGTCTTGTTTTCCAGAGCATCTCTCAAACAAGTGTGTGCTCAGCCACCAAGGCAGGCCTCAACCTGAGCTTTTATGCTGGGACTGTGAGCTGAGGTTCGAAGGAGCTGGAGAAGCCTGGATCCAGTGTGATATTGGTGCCTCTGTGCAAGGTGCAGCAGGAGGGAGGTGGTGTTGTGGTGAGGTGGGAGACAGCCTCTCCCCAGCACCCAGCAGGATGGTGAGAGTGAGCCCTGCCACCCCAGGCAGCCAAATGTGACAGTACTGTCACTGCTCCAAGGGGTCTGCAGAAGCTGCCTTTGGTTTTTGGAAAACAAATGCCACAATCATAGGAGGCTTCAGGAATCTGAGCAGGTCTTTAAAGAATTTGGTTTAGATAAGTAGAAATCATCAGCATCATCTATTTTTTGTGGTAGGTAATATGAGTGCTCATCTGATGAAATGCTAAATGAGCTATGCAGTGTCACTGCTGGAAAGATTTCTTTACATGGAGGAAGTTCTGGGTGCTCATTTACTGCACACAAAAATTTCTCAGATCAGTGACTCTCTCCAGCAGCTCTGTTATTTGAAAGGAACACCGAGATTGGTGCAGTGATAGAGGGAACCATAAACTTGTGAACAGTCACGGATGTGACAGTGAGGGGACAAAATCATGGATACGAAATGGGTCTTAGGCAGATGCTGAGCTGGTTCTGAAAACAGTCAATGAGCTGGAAGGTTAGACTCGTAGAGGGATGGGAAGACTGTGCTGGCGCCCAGTTCAGGAAGGGATTAAAGCCAGGAGGGAGCTGCATGCACGGATCAGTGTGTGGGGGTGGAATTGGTGATACTGCAGGGCCCACATTCAGTCATGCCTGGACAGAATTTCTAGGCACTATGGAAGGGCACCCATACATGTAAAGAAAGCAATGGCTTGGGAAAGAAGACCCAAATTTGTCATTGGAAGCTAAGCCCGAGTCATGGCCTGGCCCTGCTTTAGATGAGCTCCTGCACTGACCTGGGATCAGGTCTAGCCCCAGCTCCTGAGGCAGGATTCCCCTGCCAGTGCAGGAGGACAGCCCATCATGCCCTGGCAGGATCCTGGCAGGCAGAAGATGCTCTACACCTTCTGCAGCACAAGGCTCTGCCAAGTGCAGCAAAGGCAATGGGAGCATGCCTTTGGATTTCATGTGGATTCCATGCCACTTTAACAGGCTTCTGCACAGAGAAAACACCTTGCACTTGGCAGAATCATAGCTGTATTGCTCAAAGTCCAATTACAATCAAATCTTGCTAATTTGTGCCCATAACTGGAGATTCAGTGAAAATAACAAAACTTTTGTAAGATATGGAGTAAGTGGTACATACATTTAAGAAGTGTGGCTAATGCATTACAGAATTCATTATCACCTTACAAACTTCTTCACACTCTAGAAAAGGATGAATGCTCTTAATTCATTTATTTTGACAAGGTTTGTTTCTTAAACATCTTTTGTTATAGCTGACAAGTTTGTACTGTTAAAAAAAGAAGCAATGAATCATAATTAAGGAGACATTTTAATAGCCCCTTCTTAGCAAGCCTGTGCCATTTTTTTGGCTACAGCTTGTGGCAGGCGTGGATAGAAGAGATTGTGTGGCACTGCACTCTGCTCACAAAAGCTGCTGATGCAGCCAGTGCCTGGGAAGTCCTTTCTGCAAAACAACAATTGCAGTGACTCCATTTGTCCTTCTGTTGAGGAACTGCTGCTTTTTACAAAATTGATAAAGTAAACAAACAAAATAGTTCTCATTTGGCATAATATCTTAGGGCAAAAAAATTAAAAAGGAATCTTTTCTGTCATGAGGAGGATATCTCTGCCACTCTGACAATGTGCCCAAGGAAAGAGTTTGACTGAATGTTTGTTGCTATTAAAATCTTACTGTTTTTTTCCCTGCTAACATTGTATCTCATTGAATAAGAAATACAGTTTGGAGGAAAACAGATCAGATTTGCAGGTCAGAGGCTCTGCAAAAATGGGATTTGAACCTAAGCAAAGCAACCTTGAGGCAAGGCTGCCCTTCGTTGAATGCCAGATGTGCAGTGAGGGTAATTACCATGGCCCACGCCAGCGCAGGGTTGGGATGGGAGCGAGGCAAAGGTCAGCTCCTGGCAGGAATCTCCCTCGCATTCCTGGGCCGCCCCGGGTGCAGGATGCTGTTTGTCTTTCTAGCCAGCAGCACAGTGGGCACAGGTACCTGTGTCTGCCTGTAAATCCATAACCAACTACCACAGCTTAAACAGACTGAGGGAATAACTGCAGTTTTCCTGAGGAAACACGATTGTCAATATAGCAAGACCCCTGAATTATGAATTCAGCAATGATTGCTATTACAGAAATGGCGTTAAATGAGTATCATTTTGTCAATTAACCTTTTACAATTCATAGTTTATTATAGCCTAGAACAATCTACTTTTAAATACTTTTTTTTTTAACACGACTCTTGCTGCTTTAAACACTTACTACCTGCTCTTTAGCCTTTGAACATAGACTGTTCTACTTGCTTAGCATAATGTATAACCCTAGGTCACAAAGCTAAAGAAAACCTATTTAATTTATGGAGGATTTCATTGTAGCTGAATATTTTGAAAAATTTCCGAACTTTCTGATGGCATCCAGGCTGACCAAGGATACAAATGTATCTGTGTTCCTAGGTCCAACCACTTTACCCTACTATAATTTAAGCTTTTAATTTCACAACCTACAGTGCCCTGGCTACTTAGCAAAAGAAAAAAGCATTCTTTGTGAAGACTCTGTAATACAGAATTTTTCTGCTGCAGCAGATAAAATGACAATGACCAAGTAATTATCATAAAAATTATTCTTTTCTAAAAATACTTTAAAAATAAAATCTCTATTATAGGAAAGGGAACAGGCAGTAGTTTTGATGAAAAACACTTGAAAAATGGTGATATGGTTTCTTTGCTATATAAATACAATTTTTTTTTCTAGAAATACTGTTGCTGTAGCTGTAATAGTAAAAGGATAGGAGAGAGGAAAGGTTTGCAGAGAGAAGTACTATTTGTTATTAGAACAGTTGATATAGATGAGAAAATAGAAATGCTTTCAGAGGGCTTGTGTGACTGCGAGCTTTTCCTTTTTTTTCCCCCCAACTATATCAGCTGGTCTAATAAAATATACTCTCTCTGCCTGTAAACCTTACTATTTTTGTATATAGCTGTTTCTGTGCATGTGATTTGTCCACTAAGAGGACAAACAATTCTACAATTCTTGAAACTGGTATAGTCAGTAAAAGTTGATTATCAAATACTAAAAAAGTTAAAATGCTTCCTTCAAATGCTGAGAACTTGGGATTGGCTTTGTCTGTGAAAAAGGATAATTGTAACCGATGAAAGAACTGCACAGAAATAATAAAATGTGGTCAACTCTTTCTTTCAGCAGCTTTGAAGCAGCAGTAATCTAACAAAGCACCTTGCTCTTGCTGTGCTGACAATGAGTCCAGTGTACAAAAAAGAAATTAAACAAAAAAAGACATTTTAATTTCAAGGTTCACTGGAAAAAACATGAAAAAAAAAAATCAATGTTTGCCAAAGAGAAAGACAAACTCTGAAGGGAAATGAAAAAATGTATTTACAAGATTCAAAGAGAACTCTATAAATAATGGGACAATAAAAAAAGGAAATAAAATATTTGTCCCTCTTAACTCTAAATATACAGGTAATATTCCCAATAAATCTTGTACATGAAATGGCCTCAAGGACTCATCCAATTATATTGTTATCAAGAAATTATTAGGAAAAGCAAAATAACTCTCAAATCAAAGGAATGTTTGGAGCAGTTACATCTCCAGTGCATGGCTGCGTCACCGCAGGGCTCGAAGGAGGCTGTGACAGCCCTGAGTGGTGGCCCAGGGCTCGTGGGGCAGCTCTGGATGTGGTGGTTGTGCTTGGGATGTCGAGACAGGATCAAACCCTTCTGCCTGGACCTCCCAGTGCTTGGGCTGTGCCCTTGGCCATGGCCGGGCGCCCTGGGGCCTTGTGCCCAGGCACAGGGGCTGAGCCACCCTGGCCACAGCAAGGACAGGGCAGCTGTCTGTGTTCACCCCCTGGCGTGGCCATGGGCCCTGGCTATGGTGCCCATTCACACCCAGCCATGGTGCCCTGGTGCCCAAGGCTGCTTTCCTCTGAGATTAAATTGATTTTCCATGAGCACTAGTGCCAAAGATCAGGCCTAGTCTCTCTGCCAGGTCTCTAATGCCTTTCTCCCTATTAGTTTTCTGATATTCAGCTATTGGAGCTTTCAGTAAGAATGTTCAGGTCTTATATATACTTTGTCTGATACATAAAACATTTTATAAACTTTATCTGTTTAATTCTCCTACAGCGTGCAGTGTGCTGAAGTGGCATTATCTTCACTTCACTGATAAGAAGATTTACATCCACACAAAGCCAGACTGGAAGGTCTGGGGTAAGGGCTGGGCCCAGAGCTGCAGATGTGGTGATTACCAGCTGTCTGCTTGTGGGGGTAGCTTGAGTGGATCTGTCTCACCCCAAAGTGGCCCTGAAGGTCAGGCACCTTTTAAAGGCACCTTTTTGTTTCAGCTTTGGCTAAACCTCACTGAATGTGGGGGGTTGTATTGGCCCTAGCTAAAGGCTACCCTTCAGATAACAGAGCAGATAAGCTTCCTTAGGAAACCAAAGGGGCCCTAAACTGAAAAGGAGGCATGGATCACCAGCTACAACAACTGCATGTGTAAAAGTATTCAGGAATTCTCTTCTAGGTACAGCTGCACAGTGATGCTTCTGTCTGTAAAAGAGAAAAAGAAGCAGCACAGCAGCTCAGGGAGGGAACAGTGCAAGTGTTGGCCACTAAATATTCCCATGACTATGGCCTAAAGGGAAGTGACATGGATAGGATTTATTGGCTAACTCCTGACTTGTATTAAAGTGCAAGACCTCATCTCTGGTATTTAAGTGTGTAAAAGGGAATTCATCCTGAACCCAAAATCCAAACCACTTCATTTGATGTTCCTAACTCAAAAAAGCCAACTTGGTTTGGGTTTCCTTTCTTTTTGTTTATTTGTTGTTTTTTATTTTGCTTTCCTTGTTAATTGCATGCACCAGAAGGGATCATAGTGCTTAATTTATAGCCACTATGTTGGACTTCCTGATCAGCATCAAAACCATTTACAAAGTGTATGGTCACCTAAGCATATCAGCTATGCTGTGCTGTCCTCAGCCCTCCAGAGCATGCACTGATGCTCTTGGGTTTGGAAATGGTGTCGGTGCTGCTTGGCTGGTTTGCATCTTACTCCAAGAAGCTTTTAAAGAACTCAGCTCCTGAGATAGACAGAAATTTAATGATTTAAGTGAAGCAATGTCATGTCAGTTGAAGAGTTGGTTCAGGGTCTGTAAATATGATCAAATGCACTGAACACTGTTCAGCTTGGATTCACAACTCTGGGAGGAGGAATCAGCTCTTACTGGACAAGGGGATTTTATACCCAATAATTAGGCTAAATTAAGCTGTTGCACAGAATGGTGGCAAAGAGCCTCATTTTGTTGGCATGCTATAACACCACATAATACATTAATGTGTTGCAGTAGGTGCTGCTTTCTCCTTCCAAATTTTTTATTACAGCCCTAACCATTGACACTTCATTCCCTGCCAATTCCTCTGCTCCCTTCTCTCATGCTGGCAAAAATATAGCAGGAGACCTAAAGCTGTAGGCCTTGGCAGGATCATGTGAATCTGCTGAACACATACATGCTGATTAATTCATTGCCTTAGCAACTGGAAAGTCTCAGAATATTCTTCCTTGTTTATTGGCCCTTTCAGAGTTAATGTGAGCACTAATGATTATACATGGGCAAAATACAGCAACGGTTAACTGCCTGCACCTGCAAGGACCAAAAAACTCCTTTAATCCCAAAAGGTTACCTGTTTCACAAAGTCAGATAGGCATTCTTCGGAGCAAAAGCCCAACTGCCATACTACCTACACTGTACATGTCACCCAGCTAAATTTTACATGGTGGCACCAGTGTTCATTTACAGCAGTTTGCTTTCCCTGGGTGTTGAGTAAACACTGCAAAGGAGCTGGTTCAGTAGATGGGCATGTCTCTGTTCAAGAGCAAACATTATGTTCATGTTTCGTTCTTTTGATTTAGCTTTTACAGTGCTTATTAAAACAACATTCTTGGCTGAACCCTTGCTGCCTGATGAGCGTGTTCCTTGACTCAAAGTCCAAGAATGAAAATCTCTCCAGCTCTGCTGTGATGGATTATGGCAGCTCTAGACTATTTTTCATAGCCTTTTAGAACTTCTGCATGGTTTTCACTCAAGAGTGACGTTCTGTCCCTCATTCGGGTCATTTTGTTACTGGGGGCATCTAAGAGAAGTAATTGGATTGCCTGATTCTCCAAGCTGTCTTTCATCTAGATCCAAAGGCTGTCACACAGGCATCTACACATACATCAGTCCTAATAGAAGCCCTGTCTGTTTCTTCAGGAAGACTTTCTAGAAAGTCTCATTTTCTCTGACCATCTGTAGTTGTGGGCTCTCTTTTCAGCTGTCCTCACACATTGTATAGTGCTTTAAGACCCTGAAAATACACAGGAAAAAAGCACTCCCCCCTTTTCTCTAGCAACTTGCAAAACCTGCCAGCCCTGTGGCAGATTCTCCTGCCTGTTTTTGCCCATACCAGCAAAAGGTCCTGTAATTTCTGTTATTCCCAGGAAGTACAGGAAGGTTCCAGAGCTCATGCCGCTTTCTCTGTGAGACCTACAACATTTTCACCACCTCTAAAGTAGCTGCTTCTCTCTTTTTCTATTTTTGTGTAAACACAAGCTGCCCATTGGTAAACTCTGAGCTTAAAAATCCAAGTGCTGTCAGGAGGAATCTACATTTGCTTCAAGGCAATTAGGTGACTCATGGCTGTGTCCTTTCTTCAGCTGCATGGAGAGAAGTCAAATCTCCCACGGCTGGATGAAGCCAACTCCCAGCCATCCCTCTATGAATAAGCCCAACACAAATGCCTACCAGCATTTCCCAGACTGAGCTCAGAAATGTGGTCCCCGACACAGAGCTACCATATTGAAGGTGTTGAAGTGCAAGCTGTGTATGCCTGAGGTATGTACAGAGCTAATGAAAGGAATGCTGCATACTCCAGCCTTTTTAGAGTACAACATGAAATAGCATCTGGATTTCTTCACAGACTTTTTTTTTTTCATGTCTTTGAAAACTCTGATTCCATATTTACTAATAAATAACTAACTAACAGCCTCTTACTCTGGTGAGACAGTTCCATACTGGGAGATTTACTTTAAAATTGCAACTGCTGGCTATCAGATATGATTTGAGAGTATTGATTTTGAAGGCAGGTATTTTTCCCTATGTACTCTTTCCACTGCTCTTCTTGAAAGATGCACCATTGCTTGTGAGTTTTTTTTGGGGAAAAATAGAGTTTCAGGCTACAGTTTTTATGAAAAGAATGCAATGCATCCTGGAGCTCAGAGACTACTGTGCTTGTACTAATTGATGTCTAGAGATGAGGAAGTCTTCTATTTTAAATCAGTCCTCCTCCTGAAAGAAGCATGGAATAATAAGAGGGACTGTCAGCAGAGTACCAGGTAAATGTTGCCATGGGCCAAAGGACTCTCCCTTTCCCTAGAGCTCTTTTTGGAAACAAGCAGCTATCAAATCAAAACATATTTACTTGATGCAACCAGTAGTGAAAAGACTGATGTTTGCAAAAAAAAAAAATACCACAGTACAAACAACAAATTTTGCCTCTAATAGACTGGTTTCCACCAATGTACTTTAATGGTTTTTTAATGGTTAGAATATGGGCAGGGAGAAAGGCCAATGTTTTAGAAGCTCCCCTCAGCCAGATAAAGGTGAGGAATTAATGCTATTTCAAGTCAATGCTCTTCCAAAAGAACTCTGATAACAGTAGTTAGTTAATCTTTTTGTTTCTGCCTGTTTGTGGGTGATCACATTGGGTTTGTCTTCAGCCTGGTTTGCTTGAACAGCACAGAAAGCCCAGCTTAAATACTTATTTTGGTCAAGAAGCACTTCAGAAAATTACTGATGCTGCCTTTGAAAGCTCTGCCTATTTTACAAAGAGGGGGAGGGGGAGATTATTTAAAAGTCAATGATATGAAACTAACTAGATATATTTGAAATATTGATTACATATATCTTCTGAAATAGGGTAATGGGATATTCCTAGATGCTGTATGCATGTTTATACATCTCTGAAATGTTTGATTAATGTGCACCTAATCTTTCTTTCTGTTAATAGACCATCATATTTCTTACTAAGAAATGAATTATTCGACCACTGGTACAAGTGGCTCAGAGAAGACCATTTATTATGCTGCATCTTCAGCTAGTGTTTCTTCAGCAAGTAATCTTTGACCTGGAAAGCTGTTTCACTGAAAATGACTAATTTTGCCAATTTTACTTTTTGCTTTGAATATGTTTTTCTGGTGGCAGTTTAATCTATCCTAAAAGACTTATTTTATACTTTACAATATTGGTAAAACATAAATAGAAAATAGACAAAGGAAAACCTTCATGAAGTAAAACTTCAATTCCATTTATGGAGACCCTACCCCAGAACTCTGAATTTGGAAGTGCAAAGGGATGTATTGGTATGCAGAAAGTTAAAAAAATCCAAACAAACAAACAAACAAATAAAAAGACAATCCAGAATTGACGAGCTGATACTTGTCTTTGTTCATAAAATATATTGTCATTCTACTGTGGTTTTGAATTTGCTTTCCATTTTTATTTTAAGATTATCTCAAATTTTCATCATTTTCTATACCACTTGTTTCAAGCAATACTACTTTTCACATCTCTCAAAATTGCTTAGTTAGGAGATTCAACAAATCACAGGTACTGATAACAACAGTTGCTCTCTGCCAGCCTTGTCTGTATCAGCCCCAATCTTGCCATTAAGACTCTATAAGCAGCACTTCTGTATGCAGTGATTTTCAAAATTACAGTGCTAAACTTTGAGAAACAGGGATGTTCATCACTTTTGCACATTTGGTCGTAGGCTCAGCTGGAAACACTGAGCATTATGCAGGCAAACAAACCATGACAAGCTACAGTTGTGGGACTGGGTGAATTTTGTGGAAAGGATGTTGAGGGTTAGTTTGCTCCTTGGCAGTTTCTCTAAGATAAATTGAGCATTTGCATTTGTGGTTTTGAGAGCTCAGTAAAGGTCAATAGGTAATTAATACAAAAGTCCAAGCTCTCTGAGTTTGGGTCATAGCCCTGAAGACAAGTCCTAGTGTCCACATTTTCCTTTGAACCCACAATTAAAAGTAGTAGTTTGGAATTTCCATCCACTTTAATGAATTTCAGATTTCAGCCCAATCCACATTTGACATTTAGAACCCTTTACAGAATGTTGAGTTGTCACTAAAAAGCAGACACATTTTAAAATGCAGACTTTTTGCTTTGAGAATAGAAAACACCCACTGAATCTACCTATCAGTAAAATCCAGCCTTGCATTGTCTTCAGCTTCAGTCTGGGGATGCTTGGGCCTTTTCTGCACTTAATTTTGCTCTGGAAGGACAAGAAGTAGCGGTAGGTTGCATGGTATCTGTTGGCTTTGACATGGAGATTTTTTGATCCATTTTATGGATTGAAGTTCTTCCTATTGTGTCGACTCTGACTTTTGTAAAGCAGAAGAGGAGAAAGCCTTTAAATAAGGCTTTCTTCCTTTCTTCCTATCCCTCTCTTCAGCTCTCTCCAGACCTTAGACCTCCCAAGGGCTTTCGGAAGCAGGGGAAAGAGAAATAAAGTTTACCCTGGCTGGAGAAGGGTACAAGAGATGTGATCAGACTCTTAATAAGATATTTTAGGACCTCTGTTAAAAGGAAGGTGGAAGGGGGAGGAGAAAGTTTCCAGAAACCATCTGTATAGGAAGAGCAAAAGATTATGCATAGCTGGAGCATGTGAGATAATGAATTCCTGCCCCATCCCTTCGTCCTCTTCTTCCTCCTCTTCCCCCCATGCTGTTATCTGGGGAGGTGATAAACTCTCTGATGGTGAAAAAGGTCAAGGAAAGTGTTTGGTTACTTTTTTGAAGACATGATTTTGTAATTCAGGCAGCTCCTTCTGAGGTGAGAGAGTTGGGAAGGAGCAGCTGCACCTGCCCAGGGAGTGAGGAAGTACTTGTGTTAAAGGCTGATATTGATACTTTTTAGCCGTGCAAGTACTGCAGTTAGCTATGTGTACTTAGCAAATGAAAGGTAAAACAGTCTTCTTATTGTAGCAAAAACCAAATATGGGTCATTGGTTTTTATTGTCAAAAGCTTCTGCTGAAATGGAGAAGTATCTCTGTGGGGAGCATCCACTTCTTTCCCATTTAAAACATTCCAAAACATTGCCATCTATGCCAGTCTAAAACCCTGGGGTAAATCTCTGCTCTGTTTTGAAGCATAAGGAATGCAGGAGAAGCTAGAGAGGGTCTGGCCTCCAGTGAAGACAGTTCTTCTCTGCCATGGTCCTCTGGTTAGCAAAGGAATCAGAGAGAAGCCTTGCTTGAGGGAGGTGATGTAAGAAATTCTTTCTGGAGATTTCTAGTCCTCTCTATTTTGAAAGAGGCCTATACTTTGCTACAAAGAAAAAAAAAGCAGTTTTTATTATTTAAGAAAGATAGCTCCTAAGAGTTTTTGACAAGCTCAATACTAAAAAAGGGAAAAGAAGCATTGAGCATAGCACAGGAAGCTTTCAAAAATTGGCTATTACAGGAAATATTATCGTGAAATACATTTCTCTGAAGAACATGCAAAAATGTTCTCTTTTCCATTTTGCTACCTTGCTGCTAAGGTCTGGCAGAGGCAGCTTCTGACGTGCAGCTCCTGTAGCTGAGGTGCCATTGAAGCCTGCTGGCACTGGGGCTGTGGATGTTGGGCTGGGTGCTTCTAGGCCTGACTGGGTGCTTGGGTCCTCATGATCAGAGGGAGTGAGTGACACCAAGCTAGAAGCCTTGTCCTGGAAGCCCCAGCTCCTGCAGGCTCCTGGAGCTGCTCCTCCCCTCGCCAGGCTGGCACTGAGCTGTGAGCAAGGCCCTCCTTGCCCAGGTGGCACCACGAGCTGCTAATTAATGGAAGGAAAAGGCAGCTGCTGAGGAAGTGCCTGATTAATCCACACTGGAGGAAAAGAGGGTGTATGAAGCCTCTAAATTTAACACAACTTTAGGAAAGTGTGTCTTTCTTCAGGCTTGCTTGTGAGTCAACAGCTCTTGACTTCCAATAAAGCTGAAGGAAAACCTGGAAAAGGAATGCTAAGCTTTTGAGGGAAAAGTTCAGACACAAGAGGCAGAGAAATGCAGACACTTTGTTTTTTCCTTGCTCAATTGCTTGCAATTTTTCATTTTTTGAGCTGTGTTTTTTATGTTCATAGCCTTTCCTAGGAGAAAGCCCCAGCACCACAGCTGAGTGCTGCTGCAGCTGAGCTGTGCTTACATTCCAAGGGCTGGGGGACTGCAGTCCCAAACTGTGCCCATATTCCAGGGGAACATGATGCCATGGGAGCAGCAGGCAAACTTGCAAGACAGAGCACAGCATCTGCTTCTTGCACGGAGTAATAGGCACCTTCACACAAGAGGCAAGTTTCACCTCCCTGGAAATGAGTTTGGCACCATTTTTCTCTTCTATAGATTCCTGTTCTCTTGTGTCCATATTGATCTGTTCCACTTGGTTTGGTTTTTTTTTATGCATGCAGCTTCTAACCCTGGGGTCCCTGCTTGTCACTCCTCAGCAGCCAAGGAAGGGGTCCTGGGGTTGCTCAGGCACCTCTTGGACTGAGGCTGTGGGGAACACTCCACAGAAAGATTGGAAGGGGGTAGTTATGCTAAGAATAATGAATATCAGCTATTCCAGGGGGAAAACTTAACTGGGCACTTAGGCACCCAGTCTGATAGTTAAATGATCGTAATTTTCCTTAATTAGCTTCTGTTACCTCTCCTTTCTCTCCAATGGGGCTACTAGCAGAAAGGAGACAGGGGCCTCTGTAAAGTATCCTACAGAAAGCCTCCTGTAAGGCCTTCACATGTCACAAACCAAGATTTTTGTCCCATGCCCCTTCATGGGTAGAAGGTGTTTCAAATGACAGTGAAACATTAGAAATAGGAAAGGATAGGGTTTTTTCCCTTCCTTACTGGTTTCTGAAAAATGTGATTTATAAGCTGTCAATCATTTCCAATGATCTCAGTCCAGTGTTTACTCAAAAATCATGTTTGGTGTAGCTGGAAGTTGTTACTCACTGATGAGCAAGTCTGAATGCTGAGAATGAGAAATGATTGACATTCTTTAAGGTAAAGGGGGAGACTCTTCATCCAGCAGAAGCTGCCACTGCAACAGATGCTGTTATAGCTTCTGACACTGATCGTGATGAGTGGTGTGTAATGTCAGTAAAAGATGAGAGGCTACAACAACAAAGTGAAAAAGAAGCCTCTGAACACAAATCCCATGGCACCCTGGTAGCAGTTAATAGCCATGACTTCCGTGGCTGGAAATACGACTTTAAAAGGTTAGGCATATATTGGTTTACTTATCACCTAGTTACTAAATAAGCACAAGAGCTTGCTAATTAGTGATCTATTATTATTTGACTCTAGGTTTGTTGGGTTTTTTTTAATAATTTTGGTTCCATTTTTTCCTATGGTTTTTGGCAAATATTGGCCAGTTCTTTTTTTATTTCAGGTTCTCCTTTTGGTTAAATATAGCAGATATTTACAGAGAATAATTCATAGCAGAGCTGCACATGGTCCTGAATACTGTGATGCACTCAGGAGTAATGCTGCATTTTGGGCATCTCACTAGCAATATCAAACAGCAAGTTTCCATCTGCAGTTATAAACTTTGTCCCTAAGTAGGAGGAACAGGCTTGGGTTTCACACCCCCTCCCTCATTTTGCTGCAGAGTCCTTTGCCAGGTTAGTGGAGCAGCATGGCCTGATGAAAGCACTCAGGAAGCTATTGGGAGTCAGACCAGGACTCCCAGTTTCAAGGAAATCTCCCCTGAGCAAGGTACCTGGAGTTACCATGAATGAAGGTCCCTTTTGGGAGCAGCCTTTCACTAAACCCCCCAAAATCTGGATAGTGTTCATTTATGAACTATAATGTTATCTGCTGGATGGCAGAGTGGGTGGACTTTTTTACTGTCTTTCTGGAGGGATGTTCACCTTCAAGCCATGATCTAACTCTTGTCCTCCCAGCTTTATTTTTAGAAGTGGAATTAAAGTCTTTAAATTGTTCTGTAAGTTGACAAATATTGACACTACTGCAATGTGTAAATCAGTCCCTTGTATGCATTAGTAGTAAAGCTCGATGTGGTTATGTCCAGGTCTCTTGACAGTTGTGCACATGGTAAGAATGAAGTGAGAGGAGATGCAGGGCTGAAATGTGACCTCCTTGCCAGCCCACAGTGCTGTGGCCATGTGCTTGTCCCTGGCTGGAGATGTGGCCCTGGTCTGTGATGGGGATGTGTTGCTCTGTTTGCTCCTGCAGTGAGTACCCCAAGGGTGCCCCTCCTGTCTGCCCCACAAGGACAGAGCCCCCCAGCCTCAGTGGGGCTCGACTGGAGGCCAGGCACCCCTGGGTGCTGCTCAGGAGCCAGCCCTTGCCTCTGCTGCCCGCAGGGAAATGCCACAAGGCAGAACACAGACACCTC